TGAACGAATGTGTGGACTCCGAAGGTTTGCTCTCGGCCTTGTTTACGCCATTGTTTACTCGGCTCTGATGGTCAAACTTGTTGACTGCTGGAGGGTGCATCGAAAGGATGAATCTTACAGCCCCAAGTACAGTAAGCTTGGACGTCCTTTCGGCTTGTTCCTGGTCACGGTTTTCTTTGTACTTGTTCAGGTGGGTCAAGGTTGAAAGGTCTCAGTCTCCACAGGCTTCAATTATCATTTGGTTTTAATAAAAGACTTAAAAAGAGTCAAATCATTAAGACTTTGATCCCAGCTGTTCTCAATTTAAAACTGATTATACTAAATGTGAATCTTCCACATAAATCCCAATACCTGAAGAGTGCTGCTGAATTAAATAGCTGTTGTAGTTAGGATTTAGGCCAGCTGTTGTAGCTAGGATTTAGGGCCAGCTGTTGTAGTTAGAATTTGGGCCAGCTGTTTCCAAACTGGGACATTGCTACTTCCAATCAAGGCATGATAGTTTATTTTTATTTATGCCTTTATATTTTTCTATATTTTGAAATCAAATTGGGTGCCTGAAATTTGGTTCAGAGTAAAATAAAGTTTGGTAATCAATAATCTAACGACTCGTTTTGATTTGTTTTGTCATCCAGGTAATTATCAACACAGAATGGCTCATCTTGGAGCCCCCCACAGTGACTCGCATATTTTACCAAAGCCAATATTGGCCCAGGTGCTCACCGGATGATTTTTATGATGAGGGCTTGGTTCTCTCCCTTGTCTATATAATGGTCATGATATTTTTCTCCCTCATTGTTGGACTTTTTACGTTTTCATCGTAAGTTATCAATAGAAATCATATGATGAATTATAAGGATTCACTTTATTAGCCTTGTAAAAAAATTATTAGGGGAAAGATTTTTCTATATTTATTAAATAATGGATTACTATTTATTCATCACAAAATAATTTGGTTTAAATACCAGTTAGTGAAAGAAAGTTTCAAATGATAATAAATATTTAAAAGTTTTTTGTTTTTTTTTTGTATTGCAAATGATAGTTTCTCTTTTAAACCTGTATTAACAAAACCTTTCGCTGTGATCATGTTAAATTTTAATCCTACATTTTTTAATAAGTGATGTGTCTAAATGATTTTGCTTTCATGACACACAAATATTATAGGCAGTCCACATGCTAATTACGTATAGTCTGAATTTAACATAATCTGCCCTTCATCAGCAACACATTGCGTTTTTCAGAACTAAAAATCACAAGGAAGCCCGCTGGATTCTGGGTATTCTTATTCTCAGCGTGCCCTGCTGGGTAATCTGGTGTGCAGTTTCCATCCTCGGTGCCATCAAAGTGCGCGATGCTGCCGTCTGTGTTGGTCTGCTGGTCAACGCCACTGTGATGTTGTGTCTGGTACCCATTCGAAAGTTGTACCTGCTTCACACATATAACGTTCAGATAGAAAAAGAAGAAAAGGAAGAAGAGGCCAAAAGCCAAATAAACGGAAGTCAAAAGGGTATGTTGAAAATAGTGGCGGAAACTTGTCAAAATCTGGGCAAGGAAATCGTAACTGAGAATCCTTCCTAAGCTGAAAAATTCACACAAACCATGTGTGGCACAATTTAAGTTATTCCTTTAAAAGAAATGTAGCCATGCACTTTAAAATGACAAGCTGATATATTAACTAGAATAATTTGATTTTTTTTTAAAGTCGATATATTATAATTTTTTTTTTAATTCTTTTTTGGAACTTGACAGCTGTTGGGGTTTTTTTTTGGACAAAGTCTTGGTTGGAACTTGACAGCTGTTGGTTTTTTTTTTTTTGGTTTTTTTTGGACAAAGTCTTGGTTGGACCTTGACATCTGTTGGTTTTTTTTTTTTTTTTTTTTTTTTTTTTTTTTTTTTTTTTTTTTTTTTTTTTTTTTGATTGTTTTTGGTTTTTTTTTGGACAAAGTCTTGGTTGGAACTTGACAGCTGTTGGTTTTTTTAATGCATCCTGATCCACAAAGATTCAATGACCTAGCATAAAACTAACAAGCATCAGTTAATCAATTATTATTTTGTTTTATTTTCTCAATGAGAGTCAATGACACAATTAAGTAATGGTTCCAAAATAAAAAATTAAAGCTTAAAATGTTCCCAAAATTTGATGCACACACACTGGCAGACTTGTAAATGTTATATTCTCCCTTGTATGTCAGGTGGTGACTACAACTCGGTCTATGGACGAACATATGACAACAACCCCAGACTTCACGATTCTGGCTCAACCAGAGGATCACAGGCTTACAGTAAATATTTTAGAAACTTTTAGATAAACAGTTCATTTAAACCCATGCAGTAGTAATGAACTGACTTGACGATAATATTTTTTTTTTTTAAATATGAGATAAATTATCATTTGCTATAAGAAATCTTTAAAAATAATAAAAAAATCAGACATGAGAATGTGTTGTAATTTTGTAAAAAAAAATAAAAAATTGATCTAATTCTTTGGTCTCTCCACAGGTAGGGTCAACTATTAAATAACTTTGTGGGAGATTTCTTGGCTGAGATGGAAAGCTAACACCCCCCATGATATTTTATCTTGTTTGAGTTAAAAAAATAGCACCAGACACTTGATCTCCTCACCAATTGTTTAATCAAAAATATTTAAAATTATACTTAGAAAATTTCATCAAACAATTTTTAATTAGAATTTGAATTATTTTTGTCAGTGATTCCCCTTTAATGAGCACTCTTCAGTGTCTTGGAACAGTGATTGCTTATTTTGAAACATAATTCTTAATTTTATTAAGAAAATGTTTAACAACTTTTTAAATAACAAAAAAAACTATTTATGACAACTTATTGATAAGGGTGCTTCCTGTGTGAGTGATGTTGTTCTCTGGGATTGAATGAATGTAGTATGTCAATCAGTTTATCTGTGTTAAATAATGATGTTTACATCCATTTTGTTATGGTCCCATATTCTCATTACTTGAACTGTACAAGTTTTTATTAGCCTTAAATTTCAAAGTTTAGCCCACATATCATCTGATGTCCAATTTATTTGGTTCTAGTATATTATTATAGATTACTGTATTTTCCATTGTTAGTATATTGTCTATGGATAAGTGTATTTTCCATTGTTAGTATTACTCTCCATGGATAAGAGCTCATCACTATTTTAACTTTCACACTTGGAACAAACATTTTGATGCACCGTGTTCGGTCATCATTCTTGCTGATGGATGCCTTGCACACATGCACACAAGCATTATTCTCAGAGATTTTTTTTTAATCTCATCAGCTCCAAAGGGACTAAACTGAATTGTATTTGTTGTTATTGTTAGATTGATAGACATGTCATCAACATTTGTTAATGTAAATTATTTACTGCTGCATAACAAATTGGTTTAATACAATCATAGGGTCAAATCATGTGCTCAATGTTTAGGGGAAAAAGTAGAAAAATATTAAAAACATACAATGTATTTTATTCTTGTTTACATTAACAAAGCCCTGAAATGTCCATCACAATAAAACTCAAACTGTAAATCCACTGGGATTAAAAAAATGAAAACTTTGAGAAACCACTGACCTTGACATATTAGCAACAATGCTAAGAATATCTTCTGCCTCTTGTTCAGGTTACTTTATCTGAAGCCTATAAAAATAATCTCAGCTGTCATTGGTTTAACTTTTAATGACAAGGTTTCAATTTGTCCATTTGGAGTTTGTTCCCAAAAAATTTCTAACTTCACATTATAAAAATTATTCCATGTTTTAAATAATTGCATACACCCAGTGATGATATTTTTATAATGAATTAAACTTATCTAAATGAATGTAGCGTTTTTATCATTATTACTAAAGTATTGCGCTTAATGGAGATTCAGAAGTTTAGCTTCACAATTGACTTTTAATATTGGGATAAATACACACTTAAAGCACTCGTCTATATAATTTTTCAGTTTTAGATTAATCTTTAATTTATTTATTTAAAATCTGTATGATGCTGTAATTGTAACAATTTACTTTTTGATTGAAACAGTCGCACACAAAAAAAAAAAGAAAGTTTTGTTTCGGTAACCATGTGTTTCACATTTTTTAATGCAGAAGTCAAAAAGTTCTGTTGAAACAAAATCGTCATAACACAGTTTGGAAGTGAAAAATGTTTGTCCTATGTACATATTTCACATTCTTGTAAATAGTCTGATAGACTGCTCAGAATGATATACATGCCATACCTATTGTTAAGAACAGATATAACAATGTTCTCCAATATTTTTTATGAGCTCTTTCTCTCATGTTCAAGAAAACTTTGTACACTTTAAAATGTCTATTTTTAGAAAAATCATTTGTTTCTTGTTTTCTTTCTTTGTAGATTAAATTTTGTGTGTGTGTGTTTATTGTAGCTACAGTTTTCTAAACTCATTTGTGTGTCTCATTTTACCCTTTTTTAAAAAATATTTATCCCCCCCCCCACCCAACTCATTTTATATTTAAATAATGTGTCTGCTCCTAAATAGGCATAGGATACAAATAAATCAAACTTGTTCCCCACCCCAGCTTGTTGGGAAGACCTGAGCTACAAAGTGCTGAACTCTCTCTCTCTCTCTGGCAGAGCCTCTTGTTTAGGGACACATAATTTCGATAATTAGTGGAGTCTGTCTAAATAAATGAACTTAAAGTTTTCATCAGAGAGCCTTTTGTTTAGGGCAGGGGTATCAAACTCAATCGCTCGGCGGGCCAAAACTCAAATCACATTTAAGGTTGTAGGCAATGATCCCTCTAAGGTTTGCTGGTTTGTGTGCAAAATAACACGGTTGAGTGCAAAGTTTTACAGCATCAATTTTTTTTGTGTGTGCAAAATTTTACAGCCCACAAACACACACTTACATGGAAATTTGCTGCGCGGATACTCAAAACTGCAGGGTTGTGAGTTAGCCGAACAGGATAAACATTCAATAAGCTGAAAATTAATCTTTTAAAAAAATATTTACATAAATGAAAACAGAAAAACGTTTTAATCATTAAAAATCATTCGCATACCCATTTTCGTTCTTATGCTAATTTGTCAGCGCTGGATGTTTGGCACATTTTCTTGGTTACAAAAACGAGTCAGTTCGTATATGTTGGGAGTAACCGCCAGTAACGTTCTGTGTCATGGAGATTCTCATTATGGACTGCAAGTGTTCATCATTGAGACGACTCCTGTGTGATGTTTTGTTAATCTTCATCACAACAAAAAAAAACCAGCTGCTCACACATATATGTGCTACCCAATATGCTCAAGGTTCGAGCCGAATGTAAACGAAGCTGGGGCATCTCTTCGGGAATGAAACAGGTGAACTGTGCAGGCCCAAACTGTGTCGTACTTTGGTGTCTTTTGTGTATATGTATATATATATATATGTATATATATATATGTGTGTGTGTGTATTTATTTATTTAACAATTACGATTCAAAAATTAAATAATAAAATGATAAATTTTACAAAATGTAAAAATTAAGCACAACTAGGTTGGCCCCACACTTTTATTTTTTATTATATGTGGCCTATATGTATCACTTCGTTAAAAACTATTGAGAACCACTGCTGACGAACCAGTTGCATGCATTTAATGATATCACTGACCTACTGCCCGTGTAGGCGCTACAAAACGTGCTTCATACACACGCAAGAATGTAAGATATGTGTGTTACCGTTAAATGTGTCCTGACCAACTTGTCAATAAGGGTTCGTGACCGAATGGAAGTTACGAATCATGGGGGGGGGGGTGGGGGGGGGGAATATTAACAGTATAACATAGGAGGGTGGGGCAGTTGGGTTCCCGAAAAAACGAGCAAGGGGGTGGGGGTGAGGGTACGGTGGGCACCAATATAAATCTAATTCTTGAAATTTCTATATAGGCCTACCTTATTTTAATGTATTATTACAGTATATCTTTATATTTTTTTTATTTGCCTCCCTCCCGTAAAATTCGCCACTGCTTTTTAACCACTAGGGAATATCACGTAGCCTTGCGCACTCGGATAAATTTAGGTGCACACTTTTTCTGTATACCTTTCAACGTGTATAACATAATATTTGATAAAGGGGTTCCTCCTGAGTTTCCCATTGATTTTTCAACACATGGGTGTAAATCTACGACAGTTGATACACTATAATACAGTCGATACAGTCAATAAGAAGGCCTACGCCTACACGTTCACCTTATAAGCTTATGCTTAGGAGTTCTCTCCCGGCCCCACTCTTGTTCCCCAATCCATTAACCAAACCATACATCAGTGTGATTATGAAGACAAGTTGAAGTTGACTTGCTGTGTCTAATGATGAATGATTGGGTGCTAATTGAATTATGAAACCTTTTTTTTTTTTTTTTTTTTTTTTTTTAATGAAAATTTAAGACCAATAAATTTTGGTCCTGGAACTTTTGTGAAGATAAAATGGAATTTAAGCGATTTTTATTAGGGTGAGTAGACCTATTGCATAATTTGAGCCCATTTATATAGTGGTATTTGAATATAGTAGCTAATGAAAGCACGTGGATCAGTTGCACTGTTAAAAGAAGGAAAACTTAAAATTAAATCAATTTGAATAAAAAATCTCAAACTTTGACTGAAACTTTACCACACCTCTGGCCACTGTCATCTCTTGAAACCTAAAAAAAAACAAAACAAAAAAACTAAGCATCAATTTACCTTGCCCCAAAGGAAGAGGTTCCCCGCCAGCCATAAGCCCCAAGATTATTTGGCTAATGTTGATAAAGGCTTATACAGGACATTGGAGAGAATTTATGTGCCCGTTTTTTGGCCCCTAGAAATTTCATAATAATTTTAACAATCGTAAATGTATTTAAAGATTCACCCTTGCGGCCCGAATGATTGCCTTGGCCTTGATCCAATGACTCGGCTCCCGGTCTATTTACTCTATTAAATAAATATATATATATATATATATATATATATATATAATATATATATATATATATATATAAGTTCTATATATATATATATATTATATATATAGGTCCTATATATATATATATATACAGGGTGGGCCAAAAAATGTGAAAACATCTCGTAAAATATTACGCTACGAAATGTTCTCACTTTTATTGGCCCACCCTGTATACTGTATATATATATATATATATATATATATAGAGAGAGAGAGAGAGAGAGAGAGTCATTTATGAGTAGAAGAATGTGGCCTTATCTATAGTTTTGTGACTGATCCAATGTAACAAAATTATTATGAATCAAATGTTTGAGCCCCATTGTCCACAAATCGTTCCATTTTCAAGCCAACTTTATTGTATTTTACTTTAATTATGTCATGTCACATCGCTCCCGAAATGGTGGTCTGCGAACCAGGGCCCGCGAGTTTTACGTTGCAGGTGTGAACGTTGATATTTTTGGTCAAATAAAAAAGAAAATATTATTAATAAATCTGGCACCGGTCGCTGGTGCAATTTCGAAACTTGCCCAACGGTCCGCCAAACTTTAACGCTTAGAAAATGCTGACATAGGTAACAATGAATGAATACTTTTCGCTTGTTTTTGTTTAATTTATTATATTTGCTTTTCTTTTTAAAATCTCATTGTATTATATGCAATATGACGTTTACATTATTCCCGTGCATAATGCTTTCGATGCAAACATCAAAAGAGCTCCATATGACATAATGGACCACACACAATTTTTTTTTTTAAATTGAGAAACGCTTCTCGCTACCACCACGTCCATAAGCAATCTACTCGCTATTTTTGTCAGTGTCACAAAGAACACGTCAGCGAACAGTATGCAACCGCAGACGAATCTTTCATCAGGCGTTGACGAATTACTGTAACGTAGCAGATTCATGAAGTTGTCAAGTCGTATTGATTTATTTTAGATGCATTTTAAATTTTACAAAATAATGATTTAATGTGTAAAATGTATAAATTTTCCCATTTTTTAAGAAATTGAATTTTTTAAATTGTGATATTAGGTAATTTATGATATATAAAATAGTTTATTTTTTAAAATAAATACAGTAACGGCTCCATAAATAGTAACGACATTACGATCCACAAGTCACGTGTGAAAGACGTCACGAGAGTACCAGCCAATCAGATAGCACCACATCAGCGCTGTCCAGACACCAAAAGGAAGCTAACAGGACAACAGGAAAATGACCTGATATTGGCTTAAAATTATTTTTTAACGCCAAGGAAGGCATTCTAGGTACACCCTGTAAATTGAAAACACACAAAGACTTTGAAATGTCTACGATCACATCAAATACGATTGTAATTACCGCTTACCCCGGTAAACACGGTACGATCAACATGTCTAGTAATGCAGAGTACTCGCTTCTCGACACGGTCGACTTCGACAGTGATGATAGTAGCAATTCCAGTGGAACTGGAGGACCGAAAAAGCGGCGACGGTTGACACATTTATCACCCGATGAAAAACTGCTGAGAAGGTAGGCAATCCGTTTGATATATTTAATTTTTAAAATTTTAAGGCTATTGATTTAAATACATTGAGGTTAATTTATTGTTTTTTTTTAAAATAGTTTTATTCACATCCCCTTTCTTATGTTTCCATTGACAATATTAATATTAATTGACTATTGTCATTGTAAGTTAAAGTTAATGTAAGTGTAAGCCTATGTGAAGTAAGCCTATGTCACTATGCATATATATTATGTATTATTAAGTATAATTAGGGCCAGTAAGCTGGTTACGTGGCGTCCGCCCTTAACTAACGCCCAAGATATGCCGGAAGTAAATTCTTATAAATATACTTGTACCTTAATAGTTCCATAGTGATAAGAGCTTGAACAATATTTATTAATGTGAAAATATATAAGGCAACAAATTAAATTACAATGGGCCCAAAAACTGAGTGAGAGTGAATGTAACTTGGCCCAATCCTAAGGAATAGCATTTCATTTTACATTTACATCACAATTGATTAAATAGCACTTAATTTCAATGTCAGTTTTAAGTGACTTTCACTTTCATTTTGTCACAAAAGTAAATAAGTATAAGAATCAAGAAACCTAGCTATATCACTTCTTTCATTTACTAATATTACTAATCCAATAATTTTCTGCAGGAAATTGAAAAATCGTGTGGCAGCTCAAACGGCAAGAGACAGAAAGAAAGCTTTAATGGCAGAATTAGAAGAAAAAGTAGCACAGCTTGAAGAGGAAAACAAACTTTTAAAAAGACAGAACTACACATTAAAGGAAGCCTCAAGTACACTTGCAAAAGAGAATGCAGCTCTTAAATCTCGCCTAAGTGATAGCCCACTGCCCGCCATCAAGACAGAATCTGATACCTCTAGGTACGTTTTAGAGGGTGATTACATTTTTATATCAATAGGCATGACACAATATTTGATAACTAAGCAACGCATATTTTGTGACCATGCCCCGAAACAATCAAAATTCATTGTATGTCTTTTTTTAAAGTTAACTACGCTACAGATATTTAAAATGTAACCATGATGAATTTCTTTTAACTTTTTATATATATTTGTAATAGGTCCGCAGCACCTATTGTTCCTCTGCAGAAGGAGCAGGTACAGATTCTGTCTCGGTGGATGGTTCAGTACTTCACATTGGTGATAACCCTGAGGTTGGTATATCTATGTTTGACAATTTTATTTTTATTTTGGGTGTTGTTTTGTTTTTTTTCTCTTTCATTGAAGCTAATACATGGAACCTAAAAATTTGTAAAATTATGGTCTTAATTGTCAAGCTATTCGGGTGAAATAAGGAAATAATTTGAATTTAAATTAACATTAGCTTTTGAAAATAATTTTCCTACATAGTAAATTTAACAAATTTAAATTTTTCTTTACAGCCTGATGATTTCCTCTGCCTTTTGCAAGAATATACAGAAGACAGGGAATGTGAGAAAGAGAAAGCAACCACACCCGTCTCGCAGAGTGTCTGTGGAGGAAATCTCCCAGTCAAAAGCTACAGAGCCAACTGCGGAAGTGCCACACCTCGAGTGGTGGGGCTCTCATCAGCGGAGCTGGAATCCCTCAACGAATTGATTCAGATAGACCATGTCTATGTAAAACCTCAGCCCTTAAACCAAAATGGAGGGAAGGAGGTGCAGCAAAAGTCTAGCGCTGCTCTTTTGAAGCAGGAAACTAAAGGCAGCATCATACCCCCACTAAACAAACAGTTTGTTATTTTGTCAGGGTCGAAAAGAAACATTGCTGGTGAGATTGTGGGTTCTCATGATCAGTTTACAGCTCTAAATCCAGCTACACCAGTAGCCAACACTGAATCTGACTATAGCAGAGTAAGCTTTACGTCTGCCACCACAATACCATCAACATTATCGCAGATATCCATACCCTCGCCACTCAGTGTACACAGTGAATCTGATGACTTCATCAGCACCCTCTCGGACTCTGATATGGAAACCTCCTTGAACTTTTTTGAAGATTTTGATTTGAATTTGATAGACTCAACCAGTACACATTCTGAGGTCGTCCAGCCCTCCAGTGAAGAGACAAACTCATTCTTTAGTCTCTCACAAAACACAAAATCAGACACGGGTCTGACAGAAACAGAAAGTGACCTAAACCCAACAAAACTATTTGATGAGATTTATGAACATTATTTAAGTATAAAAGATTCTTCAGTGTCTTCCCCTGAATCCACAGCCCAAAGTGACTCTGGCATCAGTAGTGACACTGAACCCCTGTCTCCAAACAGCAGTGATGGTGACTCATTTAATGACAATCTCTTGTGGCAAGATACCAGCTTTGCTGATTTGTTTCCTGACCTTCAGTAACAAAAAGAAATATGCCAATATACTTTTTTTTTTGTTCATAATGTATTGTAATTCCATTGGTGTGGATTGTAATCCATGTACCATCAAAGTCCCATGCACCAAAAATTAAACAATAGGGATATTTTTAAGCTTCTTTAATACAAGTTTTTAACTATAAATGAGGTATTATGTGTCATTTGGTAGCAAGTAAATTTCTTTACCATAAGTTGGTATATTAATTTAAATATACCTGATAAAGGGTATTGAAAAAAAAAATTTAATAGTCATTCTCTTTAAAAAAAAAATAATATGGATATTCTCTACCTACAAAGAAAGAATGTGATATTTAAGTTCACCTATTTGGAAAAAACAACACTAATGTTTTAGTAATGTGACTTGATGGAATTATGATATGCAGCTTTTCAAATGTAAATTGTAAAATGTGTTGGCAAGCCAATTAGTGCTACTAATGAAGCATTTTTGGCTTGCCTCACATATATTCATTTGTGTGTTTTGATGTCCCAACTCATGGCTGTGTATATACTAATGCTGTCCTCATTTCCCTCCACTGTTGATGGATTTGTGACTTGTCACAAAGCCAATTTCAATAATAAATAGGTTAAAGGGCACATGCTAGAGTTGTTCAGTGTTTTCTAAAACCATGTCTAATTTTAAGCATTTACCTGCCTTAAAGTTAAAGAAACTGAATGGTCTTTAACCTTTTAGGAGGCAGAGGTACTTCCTCTTGCATCTCCTGAACGGGCACCACTTCTCCGGTTTTTAGTAGGATTTAGGGTTACCTTTGTATAAAAATCAAATCTAAGGTGTTATAAAGGAAAATGAATGCAGAATTATAATTTTACTCATGTTGCCATTAATCCTCATTTGAACACAAATATTTGCAAAAAACAAAACATATTGTTTGTGATTGTGAGTCATGACCTATTAACTATTTACAAACACTGCCACAAAATCAAAGTTTGTAAAATTCAACACTGCTTACTAAGCCGATTTCACTAATAATATTAATATCTAGTTCCAATTTACAATCAATTTGTGCACTTAAATTGAATCCAGCGAAATCTCCGCTATCACTTGAATAATCGTCAAAATCCATTTCGAACAAAAAATATTTTTTTGGGCCCCTAAAACTACAAAAAAAATCTATTAAATGCTTGTAACTGGCGCCCACTCTATCCAGCTATCGAAAAACCAATTAAACATTGACAGAATATATGTTCAGCAGGTTTTATTTTGTCTGTGTGTTCCTATCTCTTGTATACGGGTACTTTTAAAAAGTATGAACAAGATAATTGTGATATCAATAGTTAAATTAGTATGTACTTGAAATCTAGCTGCAAGGCAAATCTTTCTACAGAATTACATATATTAACTATTGGTATTTATGTTAAAGTACTTTACCGATGACCAACAGGTTTGTATGCCTCTGGTTTATCAGGTTTGGAAATGTATATTTGTAATGTAGCCTAATTATATTTTAGACTTGTACCGGTGTTCTTTAGTTATATAGATAGGATGAGATAAGTGGGACAAAATGCAAAGGTTACATCACCAACTTGGATAGGGCTATCGTAATATGTACATTGATTAAGCTGAAGATATAAAAGTTTCATTATTATATTAATAATATTATGCTCTTTGATTTTCAAAGTCACACACTGTTACTTTTCTTTAAATTTAAATGACGTTTTTGTTAGTGGGACAAAGTACATGTTATGATGATTTGTTTTATTTAATGGTAGGTATGCACATTTTTAAAGGAAAAAAAAGGGAAGGGGAAGACTGCACACAAAAAATAGTAGTGGAAAGTTGCGCACTATGTAATCCCACCATTCCCGTTATTGTGAATGAAGAATTCTGTTAAACTGCGTTCAAATGACATATGGGGTGGGGGGGGGGCAGAGAAGTCCGGGCCAGCATGTGTTTAGCTTTGACAAAAATTCGTGTCATTAAAATATTTCATGTCCCAACTCATTTAAAAAAGAACTTCAAATCATCATATCAGATTGTAGTTTATGTAATCCCACCATTCCCGTTATTGTGAATGAAGAATTCTGTTAAACTGCGTTCAAATGACATATGGGGTGGGGGGGGGGGGCAGAGAAGTCCGGGCCAGCATGTGTTTAGCTTTGACAAAAATTCGTGTCATTAAAATATTTCATGTCCCAACTCATTTAAAAAAGAACTTCAAATCATCATATCAGATTGTAGTAGGCCTACTCGCGTCGTCGTAAGTTGAACAAAAAAACAACATAAATGTGCTTAATTAACGACGCCCCAACACCCGAGTTTTTGGCTAACCGGATAAACATAAACTTTATAGTGCGGTATTATAGTATGACCATTCAATTGTTTAGTCTCGATAGGGGTTTGAATTAAGTGATGGCAAACTTAAAAGTAAGCAGAAATGAATTGTCTCCCCCATTACTACAATTACATGTAAGGCGATGTAAAAATAGAGTAACATTGTGTTTTAACTCTGTTAGTAACAGTGTTACCCCTGTTCTTTGGAGCTGGCAATTTTTATAACCCAAAGGAACTTCAAATTGTAAGTTTTATTTGAGTATACCGGAAATATCACATCACCTACGTACGACATGTGGTGTAAGAAAGGGGGGGGGGGGCATTTCCGGCCAACTATGCCCAACTACCGAGTTTTCCTAGGAAGGAGGCGGATAAAATATTGGTCCCGCCTGGGTGTAATTTATCAATTTATCTAAGGAACTTCAAATTGTAAGTTTTATTTGAGTATACCGGAAATAGCACGTCACCTACGCACGACAAGTGGGGTAAAAAAGGGGGGGGGGGGGCATTTCCGGCCAACTATGCCCAACTACCGAGTTTTCCTAGGAAGGAGGCGGATAAAATATTGGTCCCGCCTGGGTGTAATTTATCAATTTATCCTAGCTACGACTCTCCAGGGTAAGCATGGGGCTGTGCATAAAGTACCTCACGTTATTTTTTACCTCCCCACGTTACAGTCCGTTACAAATCTCGGAAAAAACCCTCCCCCTTTTTTTTAAAGTACGTCACACTTTTAAAAAATTGTTTTAAAAATTAACAGAAAGTTAAACATCACTGTTAATTTCAGCTTTTAAGTGTATGATAAAAAATGTATGATGTCACATATGATCTAACCCCTCCCCCACTTTTTTTCCGTGTGTAACAAGCTGTCACACTTTCTTAGACCACCTCTCTCCTTCCCGAGTGTGACGTAAGCCTATTTAATGTATGACCCCTTGAATCAGTCGTTCTCAACCTTTCTAATGCCGTGACCCTTTCATACAGTTCCTCGTGTTGTGGCGACCCTCAACCACAAAATTATTTTCGTGGATGCTCTATAACTGTAGAGCGTATGTGTTTTCAGATGGTCTTAGGCGACCCCTGTGAAAAGGGTCGTGTGACCCCCAAAGGGGTCAAGACCCACAGGTTGAGAAACGCTGCCTTAAATTAACAGCTAAAACATTTTGGTTTTCCCAGAATAAGACTGTAATGTCAGAATCTGGTTTTCTCATGACGCAGCTCAAGTTTTATCCGCAAAAATGTTGATGTTTTCCCAGAAAAACTCATTCGATAAAGAATGCGAAAACGCCTCGTCTTGTTGTAAACTTACTCATTCATTAGTGACCTGTATCGCCTCAGGAGATACCCCAAACTCGTGCAGAGCTCGTGATTTCTTTGACAATCGGATGTACACTGCTGGGAAAAACCCCCGACCCGAAATAATATCCGGTATTTTCAAAAACATTTCTGAATAAAAGCATAACATCAAAGTTATTTTGTTAACTATCTCCGCTTAATGTGAAAAGAATTCCACTACCACTGTTGGTGAGATAACATTAAGATTAAGATCACGCTAAAATGTTCAGGATTTATCAATAATCAGACTAAAATTAACAGTTTTTTTTTAATCAAGACACATTAGCTTACAAAGTAAGACGACATTTTAAATATATATATATATATATATATTTTATATTTTATATTAATTTGCCTCTAATATGTTGTTTTAAAAATGAGGTTTCGGACCTATGAGTCGGGGATAAATGCGATCATACCAAACTAAAACATTAAAAGTTAGACTACCATTTAAAGTTTAAAAAATAGCATATTTGATCAAATAATATTGTTGTAAGCTGTAAGTTATTGTTTATTGTAAGACTTTGTAACCTAGCAAGAATTATAGATGATTCCTTCCCCCCCCCTCCCCCCATTCTTGGTGAGTTGGAGTTGAAATAGAACATGAATATAAAACCATTTAACTTATTTAAAAAAAAACAAAAAACTATATTTATATATTACATTTTAAACTAATTTTACTTGTATTATTATTTGTTTTGAAAAGTGAAGTACTCACAGCGAAAGGGCAAGGGTAATTATGTATCTCGCAATGCAATGTAAAAGGGGAAAAAATGAACCACTATATTATATATTATATGGTTTGATAGAATTTTTAGAAAACTTTCAATGCATTATTTCAATTTTATCACGTACTATCAATTGTCGTTTAAGGTCTGTTATAACGCAGTTTCCATAAAAATGTCTAAAACCCATTGACTTTGCAATAGTTTCAAAATATTCAATTTTTAATTGTGTACAAATATTTTTTAGGCCCTATAAATTAATAAGTAGCCGAATTCTGACAGTCAGATTTGGCATCTTTCATAACTTATAAGATAGTGAAATATATGGATGCTTTTAAATATGAAAATATTGTTATTAAAAATAAAGCAGCGTCACATAAGTTAAACTTTTTGTGATCTTTCTTATACTAACAATCCTCCAGTGCAATTGTTGCGTTTATGTTCCTAGTGAATAAAGTAATCGAAACAATCACAAGTAAAAGTTGTTAATTTTTGTCAAAATGTATTGTTATAGTTGCTGTTTATAGGTCAAGTTTAGTCTATTGACACAATTACATTTCGCACAGTTACACAATTATTGTCATTTTTAAAATATAAAAACACTCTCTTTAAATTAACGATTAAATTAATGTAGGCATAATTCACTTTATTTCACTATTTTTTAAGCTAGGAATAGGTATAGTCGATTTATGAAAAACATCTCTGCAAATCTCATAAACAGATAATCATAATCAGGACCATTGAAAATCGAAGCGACCTACTTTCTTGAAGCAAGCAACTGTGCATTTGATAATCGACCGTAAGCAGAGAAGCTTCGCTGTTGTGAAGTTTCGGTTCAGCGCTGAGTTTTTTTAGTTAACTATTTCTGTGATATAATATAAATATTTTATTAAGCATGGAGGAACGTCAAAACTGGGGGAAAAAGCTGGAATTTATGCTTGCGACTATAGGATACGCTGTTGGACTTGGAAATGTTTGGAGATTCCCTTATCTTTGCTTTAGAAGTGGTGGAGGTAAGCGTCTTAATGAATGTAATGATCTTTTAATTGTGGTTTTTGTGGGTTCATTTGTATTTTTGAATGAATTTTAAATAATATATATTTGATTTCATTAGGTCAAATTGACTTCTTCGGTCGTTTCTAGTAGTAATCATGTTACATAACTAATTATAAATATAATAATTGCATAACGGGGGTGGGGTGATATGAATTCTGTTTCAGTTGAGAGTTAGGCCTGCTTGGGTTTGAGTTATATAAATAAATTGTTACACAACCGTGAACTACAACATTATATTATATATGATTATCGCTGTGTCATTCTTACGAAATAATGTTTGATTTAGAAACAAAATAAAATACTAGACTAATAATAGGAAATAAATAGTTAGGCCTAAGCAAAATTAACTTAAACTTTATTAAATGTATCTATCTTGACTATCTAAATCCAATAATAAATTAGATTAATTAGATTATAATTATATCATGATATTGATATGAATAATATGATGATTGTGTGACTTTAACGATGGAATACAAACAATGATGCCTTTATTTTTTATAAGTTTATTTTACATTTTTATATATTAAATTTAAGCCTTTTTTTCTTATTTATTATGAATTTATTGAAGGAACACTTATGCTAAATTAATAATTAAGTTAGTTAGACTTATACTTACTTATGAAACTTATGGTTCTATTCTATTAATTTTTTGTTGTTGTAAGGTAAGCCTACTTCTTTAAATTCAGCG